ACTGCCGTGACGGCGCTTGGTGGACGGTGGTGGGCCGGTGCCCTTCCTCCCACTTTACAGATCATAAAAGGATCCAATGGTCCGAGTTTACCCTTTTCGTACAATCATTTATTTTGAGTAATGCATTTACATGTTACTCTTTCGATTCTAAATATAAGATCCTTATAAAATCTTTATATAAATATCTTATATTTAAGATTTAAAGAGTAATTAATTAGTCCCTCACAACGTGACAGTCTAAGATTTAAATTTTTGTTAGGAGAGGTACTTACACATTTAGTGTATGACAGTATCTTAAATAGATTATCTCTAATAAGAGAATACCTGTACATTAGGGGGGAAAAATCATGTTGAAATACTTCACAAACAAAAGAAATCATGTTGAAATAGGAAAATTTGGGGAAAAGTTTAGGTTAAGGTGTAATTTTATTTCAAAAATTTTCATACAGGAATTAGGATTATTCAAAAATTTTTTGTTGGATCAATAATTCAGGGTTACCTCAAGGTTTTAAAAAAGGTACAATATCATCTCTGATCGTTAAAAATAATAATAATCAACATTAATTTTTTTAATCATAAGAGCAACTTTCCATTTTTCCTTTTAATACTTTCGGAAATTAAATCATGTTGAAGTAACATGAGCAAAGGAAAATTTGATGAAAAGTCAGTTTTTATCTTTTAATACGTGGAAAGGACTAATATATAATCGAACTAAATTTAAAAATATTTTTTACAAATATTTTGATCAATATATTTCTTGAAAATATAATATATGTGTTAAAAAGTATCACCATTAATATATCAATATGAAATTTAATGCTAGTAATATTATTTTCGAATTTTAAAACAAGTGCAACTTTTATCTCTTAAATTTAGTTTTATGTTAATGGAGGGGCCTCACGTCTGGTTAATATTATAATTATCGATTGTAAAAATAAAATGTATGTAAAAAAATTCACAAAAAGGAATCAATAGGATATATCAATATAAAGTTTGTGACAAAAATATTAATGAAAAATTATTCTAAATTTTAAAAAATATAATATATGTCAACTCTTCATGGAAGTCGGAAGAGAATCGTTATCAATGCTTCAATAAATCTATAGGTAGTAGTACTATTTATTAGAAATAAGTATTATAATTTATTTTTGAACTTTTATATTTGATGCCTATGGCGTCTAGTATTACGTATGCTGGCTCTAAAATGCAAAGATAAAATATTCATCATGTAGTTATCAAGATATTAAAATTAAAATTTTGACAATAAACGTATAAAGAGCGTGTTCATGTTTTTGGAAACAAAAAAAAAAACTCCTTCGGTCCTTAATATAAGACCCATTTAACTAATTTGATTAGATTAAAGAAGTTAGGTAAGTTGGTTAATCATAAGAAAAGTGATATATTTTTCCTAAAACACCATAATCATCTTTCTTAATACCTTATCTCCCTCTTCTATTTGATTATGGTTGAGGGAGTATCCATAGGGGTAATTTAGAGAAAATTGATAAATATGAGAAATGGGTCTTATATTTAGAACTAAAACCAACTCAACAATTAGGTCATATATTAAGAACCGGAGGAGTATTAGAATTAGAAAAGGAGACATAACTGGATGCAACACATGCATGTTCAGTAAACAAAATGCCATTTCAAGCAAGAATATCTTTTTCGCCTCATTTTTTTAAATAAAAGGCAAAAATGCTTATAATTGAAAAGACAAGCAATGAAGGGAAAAAAGTTAGAATTACAATTAAATACTTCCTCTAAGCTTCAAATTTGGAAAAAAAGTGTAGTCCGTTTTATACTATCTAAACATTTAATGTATTTTTTTAATGTTGCTCTTAATTATTTATCTCTTATTATATTTCTTGACACATTTTTTATTTTTTATTTATTAAAAGGGCATGTTTGAAAATAAAAGTCTAATTCTAACTTATTTATTGTTTTCAACTAATTTTAACTAATTATTTATTATCAATGAATTAATTATTTAAAACTCATGATAAAAACTAGAAGGAGCATATTTAAGTTCTCATGATTAGTTTGCTCTAGGTAACAGCAAAAAAGTTGGAATGGAATTCAAAATCTTTTATAATATACATAAACAAAATCTTGTATTTATTAGTTACTCCTTTAGTTCTATTTATATGATTCTTTTATTATATTTTATACATACTAAAAAAAATCTTAAAACACTTTAACTCTTTATTAAAATATAAAAATATTTCAACTTTTTAGCTTTATCACTATTGTATTTAATTGGCTATTGGTATTTGTAATTTTTTTATATTAATGAAATTGACTCTTTTTACTCAAAAAAACTTTATCCCTATTTAATATATACATTTTAAAAAATAACTATTTTTACTATTTTAAACAAAGGATAGAATAATATATTCATACTAAAAATTTAATGAAATAACTTGTAAATAAGAATAAATTTTTTTTATCTTTTAAATAGGACTAGATGAATAAACAATAAAAAATTGTTCTCCCCAACCCCACTCATTGGATAAAGTAACTTGAACCAAAATACCGGCCAAAGATGAAAAATAAATATTTTGTTTTCAAGTATGCTTTTTATTTACAGTTCTCATTATTTTTTCAAATAAGAATTGGCATGCTTTTAATTACAGTAAGACATTTTATTGTGGACATAAGTTTTAGTTAAAATCAAAATTAGAAAATTATATATTTTAACTTGTAAAATTGCAAACTTTAGTGCTTTGCATATTTATTTAAATTTCTTTTGGTAAACTTACTTTTTTGGGGAAACAAGAGATAGATAAAGGCAAATGAGGATTGGCAACTTTTGGCGACTAAAGTTCATAGGTAAGTGGGCCCCACACCATGTTAGGCTTTTTGGCCAATTTATGTACAATTTGCCTTAGCCAGCCGAATAGCCGGTGACCGACATTTCCCATTTTCTCCTTCTCTCATCATCCACTTTTGGACGATTGTTTTATAAGCGAAAAATCACTGGTCCAATATTTAAAATTGAGTTAATATAAATTTTGATCCTTTAATTTTGCCATAATTTTGGTTTTGATTTTTTAAATTTTAAATCACGAGTTTTGGTTATTCAAGTTTCTTTTTATTTAAAATATTAGTCCTTATAATCTAATAAAGACTTGTATTATTTTGACCTTTGAGTGATCAAAACCTGTAGTTTAAAATTTGAAGGACTAAAATCAAAATAAGTACAAACCTGAGAGACAAAAAATTATATTAATCCTTTAAAATTTTATATACTTGTCCAAAAAATGTTCATAATTTTAGATAGTTAATGTTTAAGCTAAACAAGATTGTAAATTTTACTTTAAAAACTTGCATCAAAATAACTACGGGTAATTGAATCCGTTAATAACAAGATATGATTAAAGAGATGTTTGAGTGAAAACCAATTCATAATTTTAAAAGATTTTATAACATATGAAATAATTAAGTATGTGAGAAAAATTTTATTTTGATTTGTATAAAAGCACTTTTTAAAAGTACTTTTGAAGTAACCAAGTACCCTCTAAATGTTAATAGATATAAATTCATGCATGAAAAAGAAAACCAAGTCTATTATATTTAATATGTGTCATCTAATTTAATTTAAAAACAACTTTACGTTTCAATTTTATATTTTGAACCACGCTGTTTTGCTTTATAATTGGGTTCAAAAGGAGTGCTCACTTTTTATAAGCGAATAAATGTGAAACTTTAATCTAATTGTCTTCAATGATTTGTTTGATTATGATTTTAATTAACATTTGACAATAATCATATTTTTATAATTTTTTCACTAAAACATTATTTTTTATATTGAAATTGGCGTGCTTTTAATTCTAACACAGGACACATAGACATTAATTTTAGCAGAGCAAAATTGAAATGTTAGATATTTTTTGATACGTTTTAAAATACCTGTTATCGTCTTGTAAAGATTGTTTAAAAAGTTTGATTCCAAACCTCAAGAATATCTCACAGTTATTTTTAAAAATACGAAAAAATTAATTTTTTGGTTTTTATAATTTTTACTCATTTGTAATCCAGCCCCTATATTTTGACTCGATGCAACTTAGTTCTTTTAATTTTGATTTAGTTGTAACTCAGTCCTTAAAGTTTGATTTGCTGCAACTCGGTCCTTATAGTTTTAACCATTTTATAATTTAGTCTCTCCTTTTATTAGATATATAATTTTATTTTTTAAAAACACAAGGACTAAATTGTAAAATAGTTAAAACTATAGAGATCAAGTTGCAGTGAGTCAAATTTCAAGAACTGAGTTATAACCGAGTCAAAATTAGAGGGATTGAGTTGCACCAAGTTAAAGTATAGGGACTGAGTTACAAATGAGTAAAAATTATAAGGACCAAAAAATTAATTTTTCCTAAAAATATAAACTTTGACTTTAAATTTAAACCAAAGAAAGAGAAATGGATTTTCTTTCTGCCTTTAGGAGGTTGATGGGTAAAATTTAAAACGTTAGGTGGTTCCACCTTTTCCCTTTATGAGATGGGATGCATTCCCAAGCCCTTTCTTCTTTTAATTTTTCTTAAATGATGATTATTTGAGTTAAATCTCTTAATTAATCCGCCTGCACTTAGTTTAATATTCACCGGTTCTTTAGCATTGTATTTAGCAAAGAAGATCACATGAAGACTGAAAGTTAACGAGAGACTAAAAAATGCAATATTATGTCACCTGAAAGAGATTGATGAGAGTCTGAGATTTCGTTGGGGCTCCTCTTCTTCTAATCTTTTCTTTTTCTTTTTCCTCTCATCTCAATTGTCTAACTTCTGATTTAGAATATCTTACCGTTACTGACCACACGGTAAGAAAATGAGATTACTCCGCTAGGAAATTAAATTGAAGTCCCTCCAAAGTCCAAATACTGTTGATTGCAGCCAAAAAATTGTTACTTTCGCTTTTTTTAAGAATTTTTTTGGGAGCTTTACAGTACATGTCTGTGTTGCTGTGAGGATGCTAATGTCGCCGTTGGTGATAAGCACGCCTGGCATTCATCATTCCCTCCAACTCCCATCACTCTCTTTCTTGTTTCTCTCTCTAAATCGCCCACTTTTTTCCTGTAATATTCCTTCTTTCCCTCTCTAAAATACTTATTATTCTTCTTCCCTAGCCCCACTTCCCACTATTTTTCTGACTTTTGCCTCCTTCCTCGAGCTTTTCCCATTCTCTACTTCCAGAAAATTGTATGATTTTCACCAGTTTTGCTTCTTAGATTGGATCTGCTGCTGTCAGTTAGATTCGTCCGACCTTGGATTTGGCTTCTTCGATTCCGGATTTCTGAGTTCAGGGTCGGGTTGGTGTTCTTGGCTTACTGGTTTATTGAACTTTTACTTAAATTTGCTAATTCCGATAAGGCATAATCGATCAGTTGGCTCTGCTTCTTTTTGGGTATGGGACATTGAACATGTTTCGATTTTTTTCCCCAACTGATTATAAATATGAATTTTTTGGAGGTATTTCTTGAATTTTGATCTTTTTCGCCTGTTGGTGTTAAATTTGATTGACCCAATGTGTTCTGTTGTCCTGACTGTGAAAGAGAGATGATTGATGGTGACATGTTTCTAACTGCGCTTCTTTGATTTTGATGTGGAGTTGTGAACTTCTGTGAATTTTAGTACTTTTAAAAACTAGAGAATATTGAAGTTCGAAATATTGGAAAATGTAACATCTTTGACATGTTGGACCATTTTAACATGTTGGGTTTTCGAGATGAGGTGCACAGTGGCATGTTTGGATGTGCATTCATGTCACTGAATGGAATACATGGATCCGTATATACATAAAACTGCTCATTCATTTTCATAGTGTACTCAAATTTCTGGTAGCATGCGCCAATGGATTACTGTGCATTGCAATTTCCATGCTTCATGGGTGTGTTTCCTGTGTCATCTTTGTGGTTTACTTTTCTACGCGAGACACTTCATGTGTGTGGACTGTGAAGACATTTTTGAATCTGAAGCAGCTTTATGAGACTGAGATATTAATGACTCCGGGTGTCATTTAATACGAGTTTATGTATCATCTAACAAATTTTGAATTTTCTTATTTGATAATCGATGCCATGAGATGAATTATGGTATTCACTGCCATACTTAATTTTGTATTATGGGATTCCGTCTTAACGCAATTTGATAATTCTTAGATAGCAGTAATGTGGTTGTTTTATGCTGGCCTGCACGTAAAAGATTTTTCTGATTTTACCATTCTTATATTTCAAAAACTTTTAACTGGGACGTTCAATGGCAAAAGGCCATGTGTTTTCATTGATAATTCATCAATTTTCACCATCTTTTTCTAGATATGTTGGATGATAGTAGATATCTGAAGGTGAATATTTTATGAATGGTAATGATGAGTGTTTTGTAAAGCGTGTTCAACCATTACTTGTCTTCTTAGACTATTATATTGTCTGGTAATATATCTTGAAAATTTTTTACCGTAGTGAACAACCAAACATGTCCACTTTCTGTCAACTTTACTAAAGCACCGATGGAATGATGTTGTTGCCCTTGTATATTTTTATCATGTGATCAATTTGTCTTCTTTCTGACAAAATATAGCTGACAAGAAATGTCCGACTCAATTATCTAATTGAAATGGTGGAAGCACTCCTTTTCACTCACCAAAATGTTCTGTAAACTCGAGCAATTTAGCCCTCTGACCTCACCTTTCTACACTCATTATCTGCTATATGGTCATCATACAGGTTATTCTTTGTTTCGAGCTTGGTCATTGAAGATAAGAAAGTAGAAAAATAGTATGGCTGTTTCCATGAGGGACTTGGATCCCGCTTTCCAGGGAGCTGGACAAAAGGCGTATCCTGCATCTAATTAACTGCCTAATGGATTTTTATTCCGAAACCTTCCCCCCCCCCCCCATCACTCAACTTCCGTTTCAGAGGTAGTTTAATGAATAAATGAGAGAGTCATGCCAAGATTTATACCAGATTGCTGCCTCTGTTATTTGTTTAATTTGATGCTGTGCTTGAATATCTTCCTTGTACATCATTCTCCCTAACCATCTATAGTGGGCTGGAAATATGGCGTATTGAGAATTTTAATCCTATTCCCATCCCGAAGTCCTCTTATGGGAAGTTTTTCACAGGGGACTCCTATGTAATCTTGAAGGTGAGCTGTCGAATTAAAATATGTTCTCTATAGTCTTCAAAATCATTTGTGATCTATTGAATGCTAGCCTTCTGTTGGAGTCTATTGTTGCTCGAAGCTTTTATTTTGTTTGCTGATATATTGATGGACATTATAATTTGATAAAACTGGCTACGCCTATTCTCAGTATGGCACAAATAACAACATTGGTACGAAATGGAGCGTGACATCAATTTCAGTCATAATGGAGCCTGTATTGTCTATAATTCTGAAGCCAGCTGCAGCTACTAAATAAATAAATTTCTTGTAAACCATAGAATTGGGAATTGCTCTTACAATAAGCATTGACAAGACATTTTGCTTAGGGAATGCTCTCTGGCAATTTGGGAATAAACTTTCAACCATTATTATTTGATTCAGAGCATGAAATATCGCAGTCATTAGTTTAGCACAAACATAAACATATTGGTAAAACTTCCTAGAAGAATATGGCAAGAATTTGCTCATTTAACATGAGAGCTTGTACGTTTAATCTTTTTCTGGCCTTGAAATAGGCAGCACTGTTCCTATAGTGGCTAGTGAGGCTGCAATATGATTTGCGGAGTTTGAGACATTTGGACTTACTCAGCAGAATCTCCGGGTGTCCTTATCTATTAAGAAGTGCAGCCATAAAAGATAGGGAGAATTATGTTCATTCATGCGGTGATTCATTGAGGATGCTTAATGACAGTACCTGATAGAGGAAATTCTATTTGCTTAGGTTTTTGGTACAGGCTGTGAACTCCCTGGTGGAGAGAAGTAATATATGTATTTCAGAATAGATCATTTAACCTACTCTTTAGCACTTTTGGCCGGATTTATATGGTTGTTTTGTTTCAGGGTTTTAGTTTTCCCTTATGTGATCCACGTTATTTGGTCTGTTTCTCCTGTGGTTTAAATTATTTCAATCAACACGTGTATAGTTTGACTAGGTGTTTTATGTGCAAATTTTAATGAACATAATCACGTGGATGTTAAAACAATAAATATTGTTTGACTCGTGAACATTTTCATAGTGTTTTTAAGCTGTTTCCTGAATTAAGTGGAAATTTTAATATTCATGAATTATTTCTGTTAAGAGGAAGACAGAAACTACCTCATGATGTTTATGTGGTAATAGTGCTAAATATAGAGGAGTTAGATGCTTTAAACCATAGGGGCCAACAGTGAACCCATTTTGGGCAAACCACAGGTGACTAAACTGTAATTTGCCCTTTGTTTTATGTTGATTTAAACTTTTGGGACAATGGCTAATCCTGTACATGTTACTTCTCTGATGAGATTTGTGCTTATGCTTTTACTTCTTATTGTATGAAGCAATGTGATTCATTAGTGTCACAGATTTTTTTTTTTTTTAAAAATAAATTTCTTGTCCTCTATGTATAGACAATTGCTTCAAAGAGTGGTGCCCTCCGTCATGATATTCATTACTGGCTTGGAAAAGACACCAGTCAGGTAAAATTTCCGTTAAACAAATTGCTGGCATTTTTTCCTTCGGGGTTTAGTTGTATATTAACCATAACCTTGAAACAGGATGAAGCTGGTGCTGCAGCCCTCAAGACAGTTGAGCTGGATGCAGCTCTTGGAGGTCGTGCTGTTCAATATCGTGAAGTGCAGGGTCATGAAACTGAGAAATTCCTGTCTTACTTCAAACCCTGTATTATACCTCAGGAAGGTGGAGTTGCATCTGGTTTTAAGCATGTAGAGGATGAAGAATATAAGACTCGAATGTTTGTATGCAAAGGAAAACATGTTGTGCATGTCAAAGAAGTAAGTTTGACGTTATTTTTCTGCCTTTGAGGTTTGAGTTTTTGTAGATGAACATTATGCCATTTGATGCAGACACTGCACATGTTTAGGATAATGATTTTCTCTTTTTGAGTTACCATTTTTGTTGGTCTTAGGTTCCTTTCGCCCGATCTTCACTAAACCATGATGATATATTTATTCTGGATACGAAATCCAAAATCTTCCAATTTAATGGTTCAAATTCATCTATTCAAGAAAGGGCTAAAGCATTGGAAGTTGTGCAATATATTAAAGATACACACCATGAGGGGAAATGTGAGGTGGCTGCTATTGGTAAGTGGAAAAGGAACATTTCATGAGTTAATAGGTTAATGATGGATATCACTAAGTGAATACATATACCTGTCCTTTTTGTGTAGAGGATGGAAAGTTGATGGCTGATTCTGAAACGGGAGAATTTTGGGGTTTCTTTGGGGGTTTTGCCCCTCTTCCACGAAAACCAGCCAGTGATGATGATCAGCATGTTGATGATACTCACACTCCAAAGCTGCTTTGGTAATTTAATGTTGTCTCAATTGGGCTTTGGGATTTTCATTTATAGTTGTTAAGCTAGTATATCCCATTCATCTTAATCAGATTTTATTATAATAACTAATTAATATTTGCATATGTATGTTCAGTTCTTCTTCTTTCACCTGTTTGTTTTATTTTATTCTTCTGTCAAACTTCTGATATTTATGAATGTAAGACTGTCTGATCTGTCTGATCTAATGGTATTTAGAATTTGGAATTAATACTATGATGACAACTACTGAGGGAGTCTTTTTAATATTGGGCCACAAGGTTCTGTAGTACCCTAGTCCTGATGAAATGTTATTGGATTGTACAGCGTTGAAAAGGGGCTAGCTGAACCTGTTACGAACGATTCTCTGACAAGGGAGTTACTGGACACAAATAAATGCTATATTCTTGATTGTGGGCTGGAAGTGTTTGTCTGGATGGGAAGAAATACCTCTCTTGATGAAAGGAAAAGTGCAAGCGGAGTGGCTGATGTAACACTTCTTGTTTTTTGTGCCCAGTATATTTTAGTATTATGCACTGAATTTTAATGACTCTTGAATTACTATTGGTCAACAAACAGGAGTTAGTCAGTGGCTCTGATAGACAGAAATCCCAGATAATTCGTGTAATTGAAGGATTTGAAACAGTGATGTTCAAGTCCAAGTTTGATTCTTGGCCTCAGATGACTGAAGTAACAGTGTCTGAAGACGGTCGTGGAAAGGTGGCAGGTCAGTATCTCATTATTTTTCTGGCTTTATTGGTCTGTGTTATTGCCTTATCATTGACCAATCGTTCCAATTTGGTTTCTTTTTTTAATGGATTTATAGCACTTCTGAAACGCCAAGGAGTGAATGTCAGGGGTCTGCTGAAAGCTGATCCTGTAAAAGAAGAACCTCAACCCTATATTGATTGCACAGGGAATTTGCAGGTACTTAATAATTTGTATAGAATTATATTTTACCTTAACTGATATCTTCTTATTATTGGTTTTATATCCACATAAATTTTTTATCATATTGAGACATTAGTCTTTTAGAAACACAAGCACTTTATCCTCAATACTCAAGCTGTCTGCCATCATTAAGATCGCTGTCAGAATATGCAGCAGAGTATCTTTTTTTTCTTTTGGAGAAAATCAGAATACAAAGCTTAGCATAGCATATGTGCTCTATCATATACTAGAGATGTGTTTAAATTAAATTACCTCTGAGTAAAGATGAGCAAATTCTGAGTACATGCTTTGTGTCTTCTGTAAAAAAGTCTGATTAAGTTAGGGATTTTTATGTTGGGTGGGCATCTTGCCATTTCCATGCATAAATGTTCAAATCTGTAATCTTGGCTTACTTTCTGATTATTTTGTAATTATATAGCTTAGCTAGTTCTTTTTTCATGTCATACTTTGTTTTTGAGTTAATTAAGAGTTGATCAATTGTAAAATTTTCTATTATTGACCAGTTGAAAAATCCCAACTTCGTTTATTTTTGTTTCTGTTGCTAACATCAGCCTTAACCTGGTTGCTTAGGTTTGGCGTGTAAATGGTCAGGAAAAGATTCTCCTTCCTGCTTCTGATCAGTCAAAGCTTTATAGCGGAGATTGCTACATTTTCCAGTATACGTATCCTGGAGAGGACAAGGAAGAGTATCTTATAGGAACATGGGTTGGAAAGACTAGTGTTGAGGTGAAAAATAGTGCTTTGTCATACATTTCATGCTCGTGTTTATGTTTTATTAAATGAATAAACAAATAATGTGGTGGCTAAATGTTTTCATGGATATGAAAAATATATTAGCTGATTATTGTCCCCTGCATGGTATTCTATTATACACTAGCAGTGATTGCTGCTTTGAGATATGAAGGTGATAAATAACAGAATTATTTCGGTGGAGCTTTGAGTTTGCAATAAATTGCTGTGGGAATCTCCTGCATCACTTACTAACTCTTTTGTATTACATAGGAAGAAAGAGCTTCGGCTATTTCCCTCGCAAGCAAAATGGTTGAGTCATTGAAGTTTCTTCCTTCACAGGTTATTTGTACTGATGTGTTATTTTCAATTTCTCTAGATTTTCTGTTGTCATTTCTTTTGTCCTTACTAACATTATCAATGTTTCCTGGGTTACTAGACTCGTATTTATGAAGGGAATGAGCCAATTCAATTTTATACTATCTTCCAAAGCTTGATTGTTTTTAAGGTTTGTGGGATTCTATGTCATGGAAACTTTGAATATCATTCTTCAAATATACTTATACTGACCCTTGAATATGCTTCTATCAGGGTGGACTTAGTAAAGGATACAAAAATTACATTGCGGAAAAGGAAATTCCTGATGATACGTACAATGAGGATGGTGTTGCACTATTTCGCATCCAGGGCTCAGGCCCTGACAATATGCAAGCTATACAAGTTGAACCAGTATGTGATCTTTTGTATTTATAGATTCCACTTCTCTATCTGTTCCCTTTTTTGTGTGTAACTCTCCCTTTAAGTATACAGCTTTTATTTATGTAACTGCTATTTTTCTTCTCATTGTTTTTTCTTGGTCAGGTTGCTTCCTCCTTGAATTCCTCTTATTGCTACATACTTCATAATGGGTCCACTGTCTTTACATGGACTGGAAACCTTACAACCTCAGATGTCCAGGAACTTGTTGAGAGGATGCTGGATTTGATAAAGGTCTTACATGTGCTATGATATGCTTAATGTGAAAATTTTATTCTTACAGACAGTACCATGTTGTGCAAGTGGGCGAATTGTCACTTGCCTCAATGCTGATAATAATTAAATATATCATTTGTTATTGTTCAACACATATTTGCATGAGTTAAATAATATAATGAGCACGATCTGAATTGAATTTTTCTGTACTTTGAATGTTTGAAGGGGCAATTATTAGATATATCTGCTATCTTTTGCGGTCAAATTTCCCTGTTTTTCTGGTTCTGATATGCTTGCAAATTGTCTTCAGCCAAATTTACAGTCAAAGCCACAAAAGGAAGGGTCCGAATCTGAACAGTTTTGGGATTTGTTGGGAGGAAAATCTGAATATCCCAGTCAGAAGATTGTAAGGTCTGCAGAAAGTGATCCTCACCTGTTTTCTTGCAACTTCTCAAAAGGTAAGGATTATGCTCTTGCTTGCCAAAAGGGTTATCTCTCTCTGTTTTTTTCCCCCTTGTAGAAAAATTGAAAACAGCTGACTCTTTTATGGTGGTGTTTTTGCTGCATGACTACGACATGCAGGAAACTTGAAGGTGAGACCCTAATCAATTTTCCGTAATTCTCTATAATGCCTGTGGATATTGTAAATTTTGAATTATCATGTCGCAAGATATATACAAAATTTAGGAATATCTATATCTCATAGCCTAAGGAAAGAAAAGTATTTTTCCATTTTGTTTTTTTAATAGAGTCTTTATGAGGTTCTAAGAATTTAAGGGTTCTTGAGTTAGTAATCGAATTCTTATATTTGGGTTGGGTATGTCTTTTGGTATACCCCTTCAATTGGATTTTATTTGTAACAAAGAGTGCTGAGAAATATTAAGGTAACTCTTGTAATATCTAAATTTAGGAAAGTCAACCAAGTTTTCAAAGACAGTTTCTTTTAGTGCCACCAAGGTTACAGGTATAAGTATCTCTGTGTGATTGTAGTATTACTATAAATAAAGGTTGATGAATCAGTGTTACAGGCCCTGTCAATATCCCTTTTCAATTATATATATTTTTCAGTCCCCACCTTTCTCCTTAACTTGTGCTCTTCCGTATTTTGTTAACACACTATTTCATGAAGATCACGCATGAAGGCATGTCAAAGTATCCTTTCTTTTGTTCATGTTTCATTCATAAGGTGTTGGATTGCCGTCATTCGAGAACACTTGAAATTTACTATTGCAAATTAGTCCCTCCATTTCAAAATACAAGGCTTTTAGGGTTTTAGCACGAGAATTAATACATATAATTAACACATTAGAATATTGATCACATTGCCAAATCTTCCTTTAATTAATGCATTGAAGTATTTTTACATTACTCATATAGATAAGGTTGTAATAGGAGAAGTCTCAATAAATGTTGCCCTAAACTTTTAAAGAACATATAAAATGAAGCAAAAAATTTTTCTTCTAAAAATACCTGTATTTTAAAGCTGAGGGATCATAAGTGATCCAACATTATTGAAATATTAGCTAATTTGGTAAATTTGATAGTTTGATTGAGAACAAGTTTTTCCTATTCGGTGGTAGTGTTAAAAATCTTGGGAGCATGTGAAACGCCACATCTTCCCTAATAATGAAGCCATAAAGTGAAGGTCCATGATTGATTTGTTTGTTGTTACTCTCTGTGCCATGCTTCTTATAAAGATTCATTTATTTTCACTTAATTCTTCCGAAATTAATAATTTGAAGCAATATTTGCAGGTGACAGAGATATTCAATTTTTCCCAGGATGATTTGATGACTGAAGATATCTTCATCTTATATTGTCACTCTGACATCTTTGTCTGGGTCGGGCAACAGGTTGACCCCAAGAGTAGAATGCAGGCTTTAACAATTGGTCAGGTATTACTGGTTTTGGCTTGGCTGGGAACTATAAAAATGCCATGTTTTAGCAATTAACTGCATTGATTTATTTTTTTCCATAGTTAATTGTATGACACAAGTGATTTATCTTTTTTTCATAGTTGATATTGGTTTAACTAGGACCCTTCATCATTATACCACCATCACTTAAGCTATTTCAATGGCTTTCATGTTGGGATGAAACGTCATTTTAGTATTTCTAAAGTCACATGTTGATTTGTTAATTTCTTTATTATTTTTTAACAGAAATTTCTTGAGCACGATTTTCTTTTAGAAAAGGCGTCTCATGAAACTCCGATGTACATTGTCATGGAAGGGAGTGAGCCTCCTTTCTTCACTCGTTTCTTCACTTGGGAGTCTGCAAAATCTGCTGTAAGTTTCTTAATGTAACTGCGTGATAAATTAGTTGGGACCCATTGATAATATTATTGACATATTTTTTTTGGGCAGATGCTGGGAAACTCGTTTCAGAGGAAACTCACAATAGTGAAAAATGGGGGAACTCCAACTGTGGATGTAAGGCACCATCTTTGGTTGTGTTTTGTTTCTTTTGATTTTTTTTTAATTTTTTAATTTTGTATATTTAGGTACAGTTTGTTTTATTCTTTTATAACATTGGATAGTTGCTTTTTGAGTGTTAAAGAATGATCACCATCCACCAGCACACTCTTAAGTCCGAATTGGCGTATCTTTTTCATATCTTCTGTGCCATGAACTTTTAATAAAGGTCGTGTGACAATTTTATTGCACAAAAATTCTTTCTTCCAACTTGTCTCTTATGATTAAGCTTTTCCTTGTTCTTCTGCTCTTATTTTGTTCAGAAATGAATGATATGATAAAAATAAACCTTTTCTTTTCCTTAATTACTTGTTGCCTATTTATCAAAGCTTAAGAACCTTGTAATATGCTTCTTTATCCCAAGTGGTAGAGACTTGGACATACCTTTCTTCTTTTATTTACATAAATCTAGAGAATTCAAGGAAGTGAAAACATTATTGACCCTCGAGAGTATACACATTAAATCGTCTCCCTTTATACATTTATTCATTTGAAGACACAGTGGCATGAGAACATAGCTTTGAGGTCCACATCACACAATTACATTCATCCACTCTTTTCTTTCATTTCTTTCTAGATGTACCTTCTACATTTACTTTATGAATCTAGAGGATCCTGATTGAAGTGAGTATGGGTCTGGGAGGCTGTTAGATCAAATTACACACTATAAATCTGAACTTTGTTGGGAGCAACTATTTTAAACAGTTTTTCCTTGTTACATAAACTCTCGTGGTTTTTTAGATCATTCTGCCTTGCTGTTAACTTTGTTAAACTTGAGACTATTCAAATTTTCTTGTCTGTGTTCGCATTTAATTAGTTGGGTGGTTGAATGTATAATACATTATTAGAAACCCAAACGAAGATCACCAGCATCCTATGGGGGAAGATCTAGCAGTGTGCCCGACAAGTCCCAGCGCTCCCGCAGCATGTCTTTTAGTCCAGATCGTGTTCGTGTACGGGGAAGGTCTCCAGCCTTCAATGCCTTAGCAGCTGCATTTGAGGACCCTAATGCCAGGAACCTTTCAACTCCACCTCCAGTCGTTAGGAAACTGTATCCCAAATCTGTGACCCCAGATTCAGCAAAATTGGCACCCAAATCCACAGCCATAGCAGCACTTAGTTCTAGCTTTGAACAACCACCCTCAGCTCGAGATAGTATGATACCCCGGTCTATCAAAGGTATGTGACACGATTATCACCAGAAGCTTGTTTGATTTACTACATAAGTTTGTTGAAGGTCCTCTAACATTCAATTTTTTAAATTTTCTTTTGATATTAAATTCCTCTCTGTTATTTGGGTTGTTATGATGTAAAGTGAATCAGAGTCCAGAGGCTCCCAAACCTAAGCCTGAGACAAACAATAAGGAAAATTCCCTGACCAGCAGAATAGAATCTCAAACCATTACGGAAGATGTGAAAGAGGATGAAGCTGAAGATGAGGAAGGTCTTCCAATTTACCCATATGAAAGCCTCAAAATATCATCTACAAATCCTGTAACAGACATTGACGTGACTAAGCGAGAGGTATAGTGGAACTAACACTCATACCATTTCATGTTTTTCTTCTTTACTTCCATTAATGTTTTCCTCATCCCATTCATTGGAAAATGCCCCATAATTTGATGACCATTCAGTTTGGTTCTGACTTTATATTGAACTTCAACAATACAGACTTATCTATCATCTGCGGAGTTCAAAGAGAAGTTTGGGATGACAAAGGGTGCCTTTTACAAGTTGCCAAAATGGAAACAGAACAAATTTAAGATGGCCGTCCAGTTATTCTGATTTTGACGCATACTTTGCCTTGTCTCAGGACCCTGCAGTTTAGGTTGCAGGTAGATGGAATTTTGACTCTTTTTATCCCATTTTGTTGAGACCGATTTTCTGAAGTCACGTCACTTTAAGTTCAGATAGAGAGAGAGAGAGAGAGAGAGAGGATAGGTGGGGCTCATTCATGTCAGATCCGCATGGCAGAGATATAGATTCCACTTCTCCCTCTCTTTCTCTCTTCTAACTTGAAGTGACCTGGAACTTCAAAGAGAATCCTGATTCTGTTATGGTTCATGAGCTTCTGACAACAATTAATCTGTTCTGCAGAGAGGAAATGAACATATGAAAGTGAAAGGGACAGCATCAGTGTTTTTGTCAGCATAGCTGCTTCTGCTCTCCCTTGAAGCTATTCATTGTTGGAAAAGAATACAGAGTTTTTCCGCTTTCACCCCTCCTCCCCTTGCCGTGGTTTGAATGTTATTATAGAGTCCTTTTCTTGTTGAGTTAGCTGCTTGGTATTAATCTTTATAGGGCACAGGTTGTTTGTGAGCTTGCTTGCTTTCTTCTGCTTCTCCCCCCCTCCTTTTTTTTTTTTTAAATTTCCTTGGGGTTTTAAGTTTCATTTTTTTATTCAAAATTGTTTTGGTAAAGCATTGGTCTTGCAAACGCGGTCTTTTTAGGTTGTATTGAGGATGAAGTGTGTACAGCTGAGTGTAAAAACCAGTCAAGTCGTCATTAGTTTTGGAAATAAAAGGTGTGATTTTCTTTTCCTTTTCTTTTCCTTTTTTGCCCTTCCCCCCTTTGTGTTTCCATTCAAATTTTCTTCCAGGAAAATATTCTAACTTTATATAATGTTTTAGTTTGGTCTCTTAGTTTTATAAAAATATCTTTTCAGATTTCCAAGTCTAACAACATTGGTCTCAAATAATACTCCAATCATTGCTTTTTTTAAAAAAAAAAAAACTTAAAATATCAGTATTTGTAAATAATTTGTTAACATTTAAAATTTTGTTGACGTTATTTTTTGTTAATGAAACTGATGATCATGATGTTAAGACTAGAGGATTAAAAAGACATTTCATAAAACTAAAAAATTAACTCATTCTCTATTTTTCCTCTGGTTAATTCTATAGGGTGCAATTGATTCAAATAATCTATGACAACAAAATTTTGTGTGAAATTAAAGAATTAAATATGCACTTTTATCTTTTTCCTTTTTTTTTTTTTTTAAAATCTTTTAAGAACTTTGGTCTCCTCTTCCATCTTGGCTTAGATAGCAATAGCTCATCAAGCTTAAGGCGCCCGGGAAAATAGAAGACTATTTTCTTGTCCATGCAATAGTTGAAGGGTATACCTATTTAAGACACTGAAGCAGACAGATTTTTTTTTATTTGCTTTGACCAGAAGTGCCCTTATGCATATACATTAGGATATTTAAGTTCAAAATTTAAATTTGACAGAAACATTGTACATTTGTATTAGTCAAGGTCAAGCTCGAATTTTACAATCTTACTAAATATTTATGGGAAAATTACAATGAAGTCTCAAGTAAGGAAAACAATTAAAAAACAAGTCCTAAAAGTTGTTATTCTTACTATATGACTTGTCATTATAAGCTGTTGAGGTTGTTATTGAGATTTTTTGATAATTATTTTTCTTCTGTGGGACTTGATTGTAATTCTCCTAATATTTATATGTACTTTTTTCCATTACAAATATAATAATAAATTCTTTAAAATTTAAATTTTGCTTTGTAAGAAGAAGACTGTGTATTGTTTAGACCCGTCAAAGTTAGAAAATAGACTGAGTCACCAAAGAATTGTGTCGAGCTTTTCTACTTTTTTGATGTCAGGATATTTGGATTAGGTTTTGGAGAACAGCTTTTAACAAAAGGAGTAATAAGAGTGATTTTAGAAAATCGATTTCGTTAAAAAATGATTTTATCAAAATTGAGAGTATTTGGATGGTAATTATTATAATAACATTTTTCATGGGCAAATTAATGAAAAATATATGAATAACCAATAAATAAATAATATATGTACATGTGTAAGACCAATTTATTATTTATATAATTAATTAATAATTAGTATGTATATACTACCTTCAGTTTTTAATATAAGAGTTTGTTTGATTTTTATTTTGATCCTAAATATAAGATTTTAATCCATTATGTCACTCATATTTATCTATTTTTTCTTAAGACAGTCCTTGTAATAATAGTAGTTGTAACTAATACATTTGATTAGTAAGGATATTTTAGAAAAGACAACACATATTTATTACAAATAACTAACCTAACTAATTTTCTTAATCTATTCAAATTGGTTAACTAGTTTTTATATTAAGGATAGGAGGTAGTATATTAATAAATAATGGTTTTAACCTTGAAACCGTGGTATTGGATAGTTAATCAATTATTGAAATTTACAAGGTGTTTGGATTTTTTTTTTAATGGGAAATAGGTAAACGCAACTAAGCAACTACATCACTCTTAAGTTAGCGAGTCCATTCTCAACTTTCTACACCGCTCTATTCGCGCATTCATCAATCTTCGAATTTTATTGAGAGACTAATCCTCTCAAGTGTAGAGATTATTGAAGTGGTTTTTGCCTCTTTCAACAAAATCTTTTCTATATACACAGCCTGATTTGAACCCACAACAATATGTTTAAAAAACCTAGTCATCTACTAATTATGTCGGGTTTTGTAATTAATTAATCTCATTTAACTAATTTGATTAGATTAAGAAAGTTAGGTAAGTTAGTTAATTATAAGAAATGTGACATGTTTTTTCTAAAATACCATAATCATCTTTTTTAATACCGCTCTTCCTCTTCTACTTAATTATGATTGAGGGAGTATCTATAGGGGTAATTTAAAAAAAACTGATAAATATGAGAAATGAGTCTTATACTTAGAACCAAAACTAACTCGATAATTGGGTTTTATATTAAGGACCGGAGGAGTATTTACTTTTTCCTTTTATTTGTGTATGAAACATAGATAAAAAACAACCAGAGCCCAATATTTATTTATTCATGTCTTCATAAGAAAGAAAATGGAAAACCTATACAGGAAAAATTATAAATTGTTATTCCAAGAGCAGTGGGGTCTTTTTAAGTCAAGTCCCATTCTAAGGTTGTCTAATCCATCAATTTTTTGTTTTTAGGGACGCACAAGATAGGCAGAATCTTTTTAAAAAAATGGATAAAATACAAGGTTACTTTTTGTATCACAATATTAAAAATTAGGTGAATCACACTGTACAAACTTATATGTCATGTTGAATATTAATAATAGTGATATTAATGTTGATATTGTCAATTTTAATAACAAAATATAATAAATATTATATGAAAAATTCTAATGTTTTTCTATGCTCCCCAATGATTAGTGATTACATGTAGGATCCACTTTCATTCCCAACTCAGAAAAATTCTGCCAATATTAGAATAGGTTTTGTGAAATAGCACAAGGCAAGGTTCACGGCCCTTGTTTGTAGGACTCACAATGCTATTGATTCAATCAAAGTGTTTTCTTTTGAAATAATTAAATAAAATATGTGGCTTTAAACTCTTGATTTCTATTCATATCCACCCCATTTTTCTGCAACTATAATTATAGTTTATCTATACCGTCAAAAAATTCAATCCTATTTTTTATGCAATTATATAAAATTTAGGAAAAATTATTTTATACGTACTTATACTTTCTCTCAATTTTTAACTTAGTACCTATATATTTTTTATTGATTAAATTTTTAACTTTACTCTGTTAATACTGTTAGTTCTTGCACCTTTGTTTTTAAGCCCTGTAAAATTTTTCCCCCCCTGGAATTCAATACATTTTAAGTTATATTCATGGTTAAATTTAAGCAGTTCCTTTAGGTGTTTTTTTAATTTATAATATATGAATCTTCAATTTCACGAAATTGAATTCTTCCACTACTACTTAATCCAATCATTGTTGATAATCCAACTATCCAACTCCAATTGAATTTTGGATGTTTAAGTGGTAATGTGATAATAAATAAAGGATGACAAATCATCACTAATAATTTTGTTTTAATTTTTCTAGTACTTTAAAAATTAAAGAATCAGAATCTAGTTTTAAAATATAATAATAATAATAATAATAATAATAATAATAATAATAATAATAATAATTGCTAGTCATAAACCTGTAAAATAATTTCATTCCATAATTGTTGTGTTAGCTGTTCTTCCTTGTAATTATATAAAATATAAGCATGTTGTTTCTAAAGAAAAGAACTAGAGCCAAACCTTTCTTGTCTTTTTCTTGCAGCAATATGAAGGTTGTGCATAATTAAAAAAATTATATTCTATAATAATTAAAAAAATTAAAAAAAATTGATTCTTCCAAGTGCTTTATATTTAATTCTCTCTAAATTTTTCCATCCGATATTTTTTTACCTTTTCTATATTTAAAACATTTTTGAGAGAATTGATCATCGATGTAATGCTTGATTAGAAAAGTTCTATCATTTTCATGAAAGTTCACTATTTTTTTTCCATCTTTATGTCGCCCTATATTTTTATCTTTCGTTAAATAGCACTTTCACAATTTTATTTAATTACTTTATATTTCTATTATCCACAGGTTTGCCACGCGCAAAATGGTTTATTTTTTTGAATGAGATAAAAAATCTTATTATAACGTATAATTAAAATTATTGTAATAAAAAATAGGAGAAATTATAATCAAGTCTTACAGAAAAAAATAATTACCAAAAAATCTTAATAACAACCTCAACAGTTTATAATAATAAGTTAAAAATAATAATTTTTGGATTTTTTTTAATTATTTTTTTTATTTGGAATCTCGCTGTAATTCTCTCTGAAAAAATATAACATCACGCGCGCACGCGACAGGGAGATTACAGCTTTGCCGCATTAAAAAAAATAAAAGCTCGGGAGCGGAATACAAAAAGTGAAAAGGAAATAGAACGAGCCATAGAAGAGGCTCTTGCAGTTGCAGGCTCGTAGTTTGTTTCAGAATTGTTGCATTTTTGCGTAATTTGAGTATCGTATGGTGGTGGTGAACTAGAGGAAAAAGCCAGCGACCAGCTATGAGCACCGAACAGCCTCCTCCTTCATCTGCTTCTTCAGTTCCAAGTCTAATTCCGCCTTCTTCGTCTCCTTCTTATCAGCTCTGCAAGGGCGTCAATGGCCTTGAGAAGGTCCTTCTTCGTGAGTCCCGGGCAGCTCCGCTGAGGTTTTTTTTTCGTCTTCCATTTTCTCTTGAGTTCATCTATTTTTCTGTCTCTTATGATTGTCTGTTTCTGTAATATCTGCATCTGCTCAATTTCTAGTATGATGTTAAGGTGCTTGAACTGATCCGATGCTTGATTTTGCTTTATTGGTACGGATTCATGCATTCCTTCAGATTCCTGATTATCTGTTGTCATTTTTGGTTTCCCGATGTCGTATTCAGTCCAATTTTGTGCTCTTCTCAGTCGGAGAGTGCCGATCAATTAGGATCAGGATTTCCCTGTGATATCTGTCATTATAGTTGGACAACTAATAAAATGTTCACTGCGGCGACATTTTTATTTCATTGATCGTGGCTTTCAGGTGTACTTATATGGTGGTCATGTGACCTCTTGGAAGAATGACCATGGGGAGGAGCTGCTTTTCCTCAGTAGCAAGGTCAGTACTCGATTGTTTTTTATTTCGTCACTCGCATAAAAACTGTTAGCTGTTCCTAATCTTATACTTCAGATCTCACCATTTGAGTGAGGATTTGCCAATTC